GAAGGAGACTCCATTGTTCCTCCCATAATCATCACCATTTCATGAGACAATTTCATGTCGGGTTCAAAACCAAGGTTGCCTCCTGGGGACGACTCAAACATGAACCCAAAATCTGTTGTGACGGTGAAGAATGACAAAACAGTTATTGTGGAACCTTTTCATTAAACCGAAACCTCTAAAGACCAGTTGTCCAAGGTGGCAAAACATTAACGAGGTAAGGGTAAAAAGCAGGAAAAAAAAAAAGAAATACATTCATATAGCACTAACACTATGAAGATATTCAAAAGTGCTTTACATAAGTGGGCTAGCATACTAACTAAAACTAGAAATAAAACTAAGATATATAAAAATGTGGTGTAAAAAATACATACATTATAAAAAATGTACAAGGAGATAACGGCGAGTAGAATTTAGACTCGATTACCAGCCGCTGTTCGGGGAAAGGCGCCCGCGCTCCTCCCCTGAGGAACGCAGACCGGACCAACCTCGTTCCCGTGTCTCTTTTCTTCCCGCCCGCTGTAGCGAGAGATCCTGGGAACAAGGTTTAAACCGGACTCGAGAGAGAAAGGCGGAAATCGAGCCTATACATGTAGAAACTAAAATCTATTAAAACTATTAAGTGTCATAAGCGATTCTAAAAAGATATGTCTTGAATCGTTTGATTATGGCTTGAGAAGATTGAGATCTATAGATTAGGAAGGAAGTAACTCCTTTAGCATACCTATGTGTATTATATGTCCGGCTCTGTTGAGCATTAGGTTCCCATTATGCCTGTCTTTTATTTGTAGCAAGAAGCTCACAATGGAGTAGGCAGCCATACTTTTAATAAAGTTGGCTCGAGCCTGAAAACAGCCAAATGGGAAACAGCAGTAATGAGGACATCAAACTGAAGCAAAGACTACGGTGATTAGTTTAAGGGGGGACGGGGGAGTAACTAATTTGACAGCTTGATAAAAGGTTGCTACTGATTGGCTGAAATGAATGGATGGAAAACCGATGAAGATACCTGGGTCACAAGGTCTGTTATACAACAACGTGTGAGCTGAGACAAGTTAGCAAAAATTTAAGCAACAACTCTGGCGTACCGTACATTACTTTGGCTAATCAGTTTTCGCACGCACTGTCTGCAATTCCTCAGTAAATGTTTAGTCTAGGAATTGTCACAAAGCTCATGCACTCACAATGCGCGGTTCTGTTTCTAAATGTCATCGGACTGGCCTGTCAAGGTAAAACAACATATA